TTAATAATGTTTACATTTCTTGCATTACTCATCTCATATGTATATACTGTATACTATACTATTCTACTGTATCTGTATTTTTTGTCTTCGGAGGACAAATATATTATTGTTTTTTTTTTACAGCTTTTCTGCTACATATACATTGTACATACACATTTTGCATACACATTTTACATACATGGTACTTTTATATAAAGCAGTCACATAACAATAATACATTACCAAACATAAACTCTTTAATCCCACCCCTCAGCCACTCTCAGCCCATCCCACCTATCACCATAGACCACCCTCGTTTGGTTTCCATGTGCCATATATTTTTCAATTCTACATACATTCTACATACAAACCTATCTAATCGTAAAGTATCCACAGATTGTGAGCTAAAGATGAAAACCTTCCTACGAGTATTATTATATTATTTATTGACTGACTATGGCTTTCCAAATCTCCCAACTTAATTGTAAGTGAATGTTGTGATATTTTAACCATTCCTGAACCTGTGACCAGAAACAAGCTACATAGGGGCAATACCACAATAAATAATCTAGTGATTTTGTCTCTTGGCAGCAAAATCTACAGAGCTGAGATTGTTGTATGCCCCATATACAATGGGGAGAACAAGTATTTGATACACTGCCGATTTTGCAGGTTTTCCTACTTACAAAGCACTAACAAAAATCCAGAAAATCACATTGTATAATTTTTAAGTAATTAATTTGCATTTTATTGCATGACATAAGTATTTGATACATCAGAAAAGCAGAACTTAATATTTGGTACAGAAACCTTTGTTTGCAATTACAGAGATCATACATTTCCTGTAGGTCTTGACCAGGTTTGCACACACTGCAGCAGGGATTTTGGCCCACTCCTCCATACAGACCTCCAGATCCTTCAGGTTTCGGGGCTGTCGCTGGGCAATACGGACTTTCAGCTCCCTCCAAAGATTTTCTATTGGGTTCAGGTCTGGAGACTGGCTAGGCCACTCCAGGACCTTGTGATGCTTCTTACGGAGCCACTCCTTAGTTGCCCTGGCTGTGTGTTTCGGGTCGTTGTCATGCTGGAAGACCCAGCCACGACCCATCTTCAATGCTCTTACTGAGGGAAGGAGGTTGTTGGCCAAGATCTCGCGATACATGGCCCCATCCATCCTCCCCTCAATACGGTGCAGTCGTCCTGTACCCTTTGCAGAAAAGCATCCCCAAAGAATGATGTTTCCACCTCCATGCTTCACGGTTGGGATGGTGTTCTTGGGGTTGTACTCATCCTTCTTCTTCCTCCAAACACGGCGAGTGGAGTTTAGACCAAAAAGCTCTATTTTGTCTCATCAGACCACATGACCTTCTCCCATTCCTCCTCTGGATCATCCAGATGGTCATTGGCAAACTTTAGACGGTCCTGGACATGCGCTGGCTTGAGCAGGGGGACCTTGCGTGCGCTGCAGGATTTTAATCCATGACGGCGTAGTGTGTTACTAATGGTTTTCTTTGAGACTGTGGTCCCAGCTCTCTTCAGGTAATTGACCAGGTCCTGCCGTGTAGTTCTGGGCTGATCCCTCACCTTCCTCATGATCATTGATGCCCCACAAGGTGAGATCTTTCATGGAGCCCCAGACCGAGGCTGATTGACCGTCATCTTGAACTTCTTCCATTTTCTAATAATTGCGCCAACAGTTGTTGCCTTCTCACCAAGCTGCTTGCCTATTGTCCTGTAGCCCATCCCAGCCTTGTGCAGGTCTACAATTTTATCCCTGATGTCCTTACACAGCTCTCTGGTCTTGGCCATTGTGGAGAGGTTGGAGTCTGTTTGATTGAGTGTGTGGACAGGTGTCTTTTATACAGGTAACGAGTTCAAACAGGTGCAGTTAATACAGGTAATGAGTGGAGAACAGGAGGGCTTCTTAAAGAAAAACTAACAAATCAAATCAAATCAAATCAAATTTTATTGGTCACATGCGCCGAATACAACAGGTGCAGACATTACAGTGAAATGCTTACTTACAGCCCTTAACCAACAGTGCATTTATTTTAAACAAAAAAAGTAAGAATAAAACAACAAAAAAGTGTTGAGAAAAAAAGAGCAGAAGTAAAAAATAAAGTGACAGTAGGGAGGCTATATATACAATAGAATAAAGTGACAGTAGGGAGGCTATATATACAGGGGGGGTACCGTTGCATAGTCAATGTGCGGGGGCACCGGCTAGTTGAGGTAATATGTACATGTGGGTAGAGTTAAAGTGACTATGCATAAATACTTAACAGAGTAGCAGCAGCGTAAAAAGGATGGGGTGGGGGGGCAGTGCAAATAGTCCGGGTAGCCATGATTAGCTGTTCAGGAGTCTTATGGCTTGGGGGTAGAAGCTGTTGAGAAGTCTTTTGGACCTAGACTTGGCACTCCGGTACCGCTTGCCGTGCGGTAGCAGAGAGAACAGTCTATGACTAGGGTGACTGGAGTCTTTGACAATTTTGAGGGCCTTCCTCTGACACCGCCTGGTATAGAGGTCCTGGATGGCAGGGAGCTTTGCCCCAGTGATGTACTGGGCCGTACGCACTACCCTCTGTAGTGCCTTGCGGTCAGAGGCCAAGCAGTTGCCATACCAGGCGGTGATGCAACCAGTCAGGATGCTCTCGATGGTGCAGCTGTAGAATTTTTTGAGGATCTGAGGACCCATGCCAAATCTTTTTAGTCTCCTGAGGGGGAATAGGCTTTGTCGTGCCCTCTTCACGACTGTCTTGGTGTGTTTGGACCATGATAGTTCGTTGGTGATGTGGACACCAAGGAACTTGAAGCTCTCAACCTGTTCCACTACAGCCCCGTCGATGAGAATGGGGGCGTGCTCAGTCCTCTTTTTTTTCCTGTAGTCCACAATCATCTCCTTTGTCTTGGTCACGTTGAGGGAGAGGTTGTTGTCCTGGCACCACACGGCCAGATCTCTGACCTCCTCCCTATAGGCTGTCTCATCGTTGTCGGTGATCAGGCCTACCACTGTTGTGTCGTCGGCAAACTTAATGATGGTGTTGGAGTCGTGCCTGGCCATGCAGTCATGGGTGAACAGAGAGTACAGGAGGGGACTGAGCACGCACCCCTGAGGGGCCCCCGTGTTGAGGATCAGTGTGGCAGATGTGTTGTTACCTACCCTTACCACCTGGGGGCGGCCCGTCAGGAAGTCCAGGATCCAGTTGCAGAGGGAGGTGTTTAGTCCCAGGATCCTTAGCTTAGTGATGAGCTTTGAGGGCACTATGGTGTTGAATGCTGAGCTGTAGTCAATGAATAGCATTCTCACGTAGGTGTTCCTCTTGTCCAGGTGGGAAAGGGCAGTGTGGAGTGCGATAGAGATTGCATCATCTGTGGATCTGTTGGGGCGGTATGCAAATTGGAGTGGGTCTAGGGTTTCTGGGATTATGCTGTTGATGTGAGCCATGACCAGTCTAACAGGTCTGTGAGAGCCGGAATTCTTACTGGTTGGTAGGTGATCAAATATTTATGTCATGCAATAAAATGCAAATTAATTACTTAAAAATCATACAATGTGATTTTCTGGATTTTTATTGGGTATATGGTGTGAAATTGTTAGATATTGGCCCAGCTGTAGCTCAGTTGGTAGAGCATGGCGCTTGCAACGTTGTAATAAATTGTATGACAATTTATTACAACGCCAAAGCATTGCCCTTTTAGTGGGATGGCTAATATCAGACACTGCAGATGTACAGTAGACTCTAGACTTGTTTACCTGCTGCCATCTTGGACCATGTCATCCTTCGGTATAGTATAAATATATTGAGACCAATTCACAAATAGTAATAACATCCCCAAATTGCATAAAACTTCCCACAAAAATATAATTGATGCATAAGAGAAAAAATAAAATAAAACAAACTTCATAAAATGCATTGGCTACTCAGTGCTTTAACTAGTAACAAGCTGTTATGGACTAGTAGGACTCAGTCAATGTCTGAAGATATGGCTTGTGACTGGCCTGGTGCAGTAGAGGTTAAAGGCATGGATGTTATCTGTAAACATGTGCCACTGCATTGTGCACTGCTTTGTCTTCTTCGTCTATCTGTGTATCTCTGCTATTCAGTCAGCACAGCGTGACACTACCACAATGGAGTAACCCCCACAAATCTGTTTACATGAGGCTTTCTGTCTTCACAGTTATATCACGGCAAACCACACAGGCCTCACACCAGCTGGTTTAGCCCAGCAATTTAGGGGGAGTGAACAGGGTGGGTTTCTGATGTTATTTACTAGTACTTTATGTTGATAAACTAAAACTTTTTCTTTTGAAAAGAGACTTTAACAAATAGCCTACTCTATTTGAAACCAATAATAATTGTGCAGAGTTGAACGTTGTTTAACAGAATCATGAAGGCTCTTTCTGGAACAGCACTGTGTAACTTTGGATATTTTTCTCTTTAGTACAGTACTGTTTGATGTGTATTAAAGTAATTAACATTAAAGAGTAAGATTAAATGATGGGCAGCCAATTAAATGGATGCTTTGCTTTGAAAGTGAGTCTAAAATACGTATCTTATTCATTTCATGTTGTGAACAGGTTGGCAGAACAAACCTACCTCCATTTCATGACTGTTCATGGCCTTATCGCTGCAGATAGCTAATCTGTATGCTTCTGCTCTAAACCAAGTGTAACGTTTCACCATTACACATCAGACAGTCAACTTCTTGACTTGTCATCAAGTGGGACAAGCGCCTAATCAACCCATACTCTTGACTATGGTTTACAGTGACAGTCTGCAAGATTTCCAGTAATTTCTACTAATGAACAATCCAACCTGTTAAACCATTCTTATGTTTTTGTCGTCATATGAAATATTATAGACAAATAATGTATGATGTTTAAAAAAAGGTACTTTTCTCTAATACAATTGTATTACTTGAGCACTACAGAGATAATATAGAAATCAAGTGCTATTTGCATGTGAAAATGTAATGGGATGGATGTATTTGGTTCATTGTTTATGTTTTGGTTGGTGGAGATGGCCAACTCTTTGATCGTATGCACATTACTGAGTGGCTCTGACTCTGGTAGACTGTTACCTACACTCCGATCCACTAGGTGGCAACACGGCTGCTTATCTGCTACTAACCAAATACTGGCAGAGGTACAGAAGTTGTTTAGCAGTGGCCGAGATGGGTGAAAACTCCTCGGATGAGAATGAATTTGATGACTGGTTTATTGAGTCTTTGAAAATGTAAGTACGAATTATTTTGTGAAATAATGAAAGTGAGTTGAGACTTCTATGATATCTTTTAGTTGCTTAAATCATGCTTCACGTGTCTCTGTGGGAAAACAATAGGGCTACATTCACAGCACTGGAGGTTGGTGGCACCTTAATTGGGGAGAACGGGCTCGTGGTAATGACTCGAGCGACAATAGTGGAATGGTATCAAACACATGGTTTCCAGGTGTTTGATGCCATTACATTTGCGCCGTTCCGGCCATTATTATAACCCGTTTCCCCCCCAGCAGCCTCCTGTGATTCACAGGCGCAATGTTTTAGGACGTTGCAGATAACAGTATATACTTGCTGATTTCTTATTAATTGTGCTGCACCTGCTCTAAACCGAGTTCACCTTACAGACGTACTTCTCTTTCAGATACAATAATATTCATGAGTATCAACTTGAACATCCTACAAGAGTAATTGAATGGACATCAGAAAAAAGTAGGCCTATTCATAATTCTACAAGGCTACAGTACGTTTTGATTATAACCAACCAACCACATTGATTGTGTTTAATTGCCTTTTTGTCTTTATCCCACAGCTATATGTGTTGCAGGTTACAGTTCAGATAAAAATGAAATTTTAGAGCTGCTTTTGCCACTGAAACTTTTCGCTGATGATAATCAGGTAATGGATTGAAATGATTAAAGCATGAAACAAAACGTTTCAAGATATCAATTATGGATTGGAATGTCACTGACTACCAATGTGTCTATTCAATGTGTGCAGGGTCTTTGTGCAGAGCGAGATTTCAAAGTGGTCCATGGAGGTTTCTCAGACGGCTCCGTTCATTGCCTCAAACACATTCCAGGAACAAGGTATATCATAGTAACAATTCATGATGTAACTTCCTTTTGTTGTCATGAGCTTTCATCTTCTTAAATGGCTACTTTCAAACTCGTGTTTCTTGTTAAGGTGTGTTGTTACCAATGATGGCTTCAGCTCCAATGTCCAGGTGTGGGACTTAGGAGGAGACGATTGTGGTGAGTAGACCTACTGTTTCCTTGGCTCCTTTTCTGTGTATTACAGTATAATAAGACTGCAGTTCCTATCTACTCTCCACTATACTGTACGTTCAAATGATGATTTACAACCTGATTAGGCCCCAGTCATCGTTGGTCTTACCCACATTGAAACCATAGTTCTGTTGTGTGATTTGTCTTCAAATGATAGATGTCATAAAGAGGACAGGAGTTTTACAACTGAAGAGTGCATCATCAGATAAAGGTGTCAAAATAGCCCCTGGATTAACTGGAGGCCCATGTGTTCTTCATGGCTCTCGGATCAGCGATATTCAACTGACTGAGCTGGCGTCAGGGAAGCCATTCTACTCTCTGGGTAATAACCTGTTTTATACATCATGACACTGAAGCATTCTAGGGAACTCTAATTTGCTAGAGAGTATAATATTGGTGTACAAACACGTGTATAACAGTCATGGATATCTTTTTTCCTTCCATCACAGGGACAGACATTCCAGATTTACTAAGCTCCCTGCAATTTGTGAGTGCCAGTGTATTTCTCGCTTGTGCCTGCAATGGTGACCTGTATGTGGGGGACACACGAAAGCCTTCCGCTCTTCAGAATACCCCAGCTGAAGGGAGAGAGGGCGTCCACTGGTGTATGGGTGTTAAGACAGACCTGTCCTCATCAGACCCATCCTCCTGTAGTGTAGCAAGGCTCTCCTCCTCCTGCCAAGTGGTTGTGTCTGACCTTAGGGATCTGAGAGCCCCTGTGTGTCAAGCCCAGCTTGATGTCCAGAGGAAAACTACCAATGATGACTTCATGAATGTGACATGGGCGCCTGCTTTAGACAACTGTCTTGCTGTGTCAGGTGAGCAAAATGTCACTCCTTCATCCTGCTTTATGTGATTAATTAATGTCTTATGGATAGTACAAAGTAGTTTCTTGCTTTCTAAATATATTTTCCAATTGAAGGCTCTTGTAATATAGAACTTGTTCTTAATTTTCCATTGAATCTGTCTTCTCTTCTAGGTTTTGATGGAATGGTGCAAATATACAACACTGCCTCTTGGAGACCAGAGTTGATGGAATTCCAGCCTCTTTTTGTCCACCGAGGTCACATGATGTCTGATGATCAGTTTGACACTTCATCAGCTGTGGTCACCACTCATGTTTGGCATCCAAGTCGACCTAGGACTGTCCTCTCTGCTGCTGTAGACGGGTCTGTGCATGTATGGGACTGGGTCCACAAAGCCACTGCCAGCTGTTGACGTTCAAACACACTTACAGCTCAATGTTAACAATTATGCAGCTTTGGCCCATGCCTGAAGTCTACATATTCTTTTCATTATGTAAATATGTAAGGAAAAAACCTGCTCTGTAAAGCACTATTGTGATGGGATAAGATGGCGTAAAAATGACACTTGTTCGTCTTCCCATTCTTATGAGTAGTTGTTATTCCCATACTGTACACACATTTGCATGGAAGACGTATTCGGAGGTTGTACTATTATATTTGATAAAAGACAGAATGTTCACTTTTGTTACACATTTGATAATGCAATTTTCAGAAGTAAACTGATCTCTTCATGTACCTGCTAAATAAGACAAACCCTGGACAATGAACGTAAAGGTGGACGGCAGTATCATTCCGTCACATTTTCTTTCCCTCACAATATTATGTCAATCAAACAGATCAACAACACAGCTTATTAGATTTTTACATTTTATTTTCAAAAGACAGTTCTGCATGCCATTCACATAAATTATTAACAATACATTTTATGCATCTTCTGCATAGCCAAGGATGCAGGCAGGTATAGTAATGTGGAGGTCGTTGAGGCATGACTACTATTGTAGCATAATTTAGAGACAATAATTTTGGCACATTGGAGTTATCAGCAAATTAAGCTGATCTGTCCATTAGCAGGCACTACAGAGTGGCTCACTGTCAGTGCATTACATAGGGTCTGAACAACAGCATCAATTATGATTATTTATTTGTTTACAAATTAAGTACCGGTAGTCATACATTCACAGTGCTATGAGGATTGTTTGTGAACTGGCCAAACACAATAGAAAGTGCTTAAAGACAGGAATGGAGTGTGTGGGATCAGGAATCCAATGCAGTTTGAACAGATGAGTCACAGTAGATGAGCAACCACTTGATGATACAGGGATCTCTGTTCATTCAATAGGGAGCATGACTTAAATTAACGCCTGAGGAGCAGAGGTGTGGCCTGATCATGGCCTGTAGGTGGTTGTAGTCTTCAAAGTGTGCTTGGCAAACATGAGGAACTTGAACTTGTCACGAAAATTTATATCTCTAATTAATCAAACTTAATGCTCTGAATAATTCCCAGAGGGTGTAAGGCTCTGGTTTAATCATGAATTAAACAAAGGTTTACAACCGGCAAGAATGATCTGTATGTTTAATCATGGAGAGCTCTGCCGCCAAAAAACACATATACAGCTTTTATACCACTTCACACAAAGGCACTTTGCTCCGCCCACCTTTAGGAGGCCTTTAACCAGTTTCTCAGTCCCCTTCATCCTGGAATGTTTGTCTCAGCAGTTTCTAACTCACCCCCTCTGTTAGTGGGTTTATAATGATAACCCTAACACAGTTCACACAGTCATCATCAGTATTGGGGTTAACAATTTTAGTCATAATCATAATTCCTGTATCAGAACTGAAATCTGATACGAGCAGAAACCATGACTCAATGTAGAGGTGAGTTACATTGTAGAACTGCAAGTAACAAAGGTATGCCATTTAAATAGACCACTGCTTAGAGATGAGCATCCCACGACAGCATGCACTGCAGTCCATATAGTCAGACTTCATAAAATGATCACACCTACAGATTATATTACATTTGATTTAACTATGATTGTATTTCAAGAAGTTGTAGTGTCAGTTGCCTTTTTTACACAAAACAACTGATATATATTTCATTATTTTCAGACTGCTTTTTATATCAATAGAGGATAAAGATGATATTGTGCATCTACTGACCACTGAATCTGATTGGAATTGGAGTGAAGTACTGAAATAAAAACCCAACAACAAACTAGAAGGTCTTTTCTTTCACGTCAATGGTCTGCATGACATCACTTAGGGGAAAAGACACAAAGGCAATCTGTTCAAGCTCACTATTCTCCCCACATTCCATCAGGCAAGCAAAGTGCTCAGTGTCCTCACTGTAGGCCAGGTCTGAGTAGCCACTGGGTCCACTGTGGACGATCCAGGGCCGGTCCCAACATGACGTGTGCAGTGGGGAACGGTTCAAATACACCCCCAAGTCTTTCCTCTTCCTCTTATTGGTCGGGTGGGTGAAGAGTAGCCAGGTTTGCGTGTCTGAGGCCAGTGGTGATGATGTGGTACCACCCACGCCCTCTTCACCTTGCTCAGGGGCAGGGAAGCCAATCACACTGCCTTGGCAACCACCATTGCACGGCTCCACTAACCTTGGAGCCAAGCGGGGCTTGTCAAAGTAAACCCCACTGCTCTCACTCAAAGCTTCCACTCTGTGGCCTCTATGGCGGGCGTTGCAGTAGAGGTGACTGCTGCCCTCATGGTCTATGATCTCTGCCATCTCACATTCACAGGACTTTCCTTGAAGCATCCTGCCCATTTGCCATGTCTGACCGAAGTCGTCACTGTATATTGAGAGAGCGTGAGGCTGTACCGTGAAGGGGAAAGGGAAGGAGAAGCATTTGAATTGGATATAATAGGCATAGGCAGGAATGATCAATCTTCCACTCTCCATTTGAATGCCATGGCCTGGTCCCACAGCAAATGTAGCCCACTTCCTGACTGTTTTGCCAATCACACTCTCTGTCAAATCAATTGTCTGGCTCCAGCTCTGGCCCTCATCATTACTGGTGATGTAACACAGGTGGGCCTTATTCTTGCCTGTACAGATCTGATGGTGCTCTGTAGTGTTCCCCAAAATGCAGATGAAAAAGAGGAATATAGTCTTGGTATTATTTTCATAAACCGGGCAGGGGTTCATAGTGCGATGGTGTGGTAAACATGCTGATAACAGCTCCAGGGATTCTGACCACTGGGGAACAATGGAAAAGTATTGAAACAATCATCAATAAGTAAATACTGTAAGAAGAATGTAACTCAACTAAATTAAACATGAAAACCTGTGGGGATCTATTCTCTTACAACTAGATGTGATGCCTAGCTTAAAAAAGACATAATAGGTTTGTGCTGTGCTGACATAGATTGTGTAACATAACCAGTTGTGACTAATGTAAGGGACCGGCTGAGTTAGACTCGTGACACACACTCTGCCAGGTAGTGAAACCGCTCAAGGACATGTGTACGTGAGGAACTGTTAGAGTAGAAAAGTACTGAAACCTGAAGAAACTATGTCTGTGGTTGCTGACTCTCTAGACAAGTTGCAAAACAACTAATGCCCGAAAGTGTGATGCGCCAAGGGTCTGGGACCAGCCTGTGCACCAACGATAGGCTGAGTAAGTTTAAACCACGCTCAGCCTCTACTCTGATAGGCCTGCCTGGAGCAGGAACTATCTCTGTCAGAGTATCAAAAGAAGAACTTTGGGTTGGGACAATTAGTTCTCTGTTTGCCCTGTGAGGTGATACAGTGAGCCCGTATTTACGAAGATTGCATTTACCATTGACTAATTATACTAATAAAAGGCTGAAAATATATTCAGTGACTTAGTGTTAAACTCTATTCTGATACCAGATTCGAATGACGCAATTTAACATTCAGAACTAAATCAAACATGAAAACCAACTGTGCATTATGACTATGATGTGTTTAGATTTCGAGGGGACATTTACCTGAGTGGATCCATTTTGTTGAGTTCCTCTTCTCATAACAATACTTTTTGCATCACTGTCACTGGGGGAAGAGCGCTTTTCTGCAAAGGCGAGGAATGTCTGACTCTCTTTTAGGTAGATGAGAGCTGGGATTCTGTATGTCGTCCCAGTTTGCTCCTGTTTGAACAGAGTCGTTTTTGCAGGTTGCATTTTGATTCCTGGGAAATAACTCCTTGATGATGTATTCCCCATAGCTAAATGTCCTGGTTCCTGCAAACAGAGAGATTACTTACACACATGACAAATCACCTTAGACACTATTTTCACAATATTCCCTGCTGGGATATGAAAACACTGTTTCTCGATTTAATCGGATACTCTCTTCTCGCACGACACAGCTGACGTTCAAGAAAATAATAAACAACATGCAAAAAGATAGTCTAGTACGACGTCGTAATAAGTCAAAACACATACTTACAGGAGCAGGCTTTTTAGGCTACAAATCACACCGTTGTGTCGTGAGACCCAGTTAAAACTGTCATAGTTTAGCTATCTCTAAAACAATTTGTTTCGAGAATTTTTCCTTTCGCAAATTTGGAAGCGTATCTTGAAATTGAAGTGTAGGTGGCTCGTCGGTTGTGCTGTGTGAAGCTAGTGGCGGCAAAAGAGACCAAAAATATTCTATACCGCCAACAGCTGGCGGGAATGCGGTACCCAGATCGCAAATGTTTTCGTGTTGCAAGGACACATACAAGTTCGCACATCGTGAAAAGGGTATTTTATTTTTTGATATCTGGCTGGTTACAGTTATGGGAGAGAAAGTAAAATCGGACAGCAAGTTGTGTAAATATTTAACCAGTATAGCGCCCAACAAACATAGGTAGCCTACTTGCTGTGGATGTAACAGAAGACATGATCGCTGCAGCCGGATACTGACTACGAATTAGATGTTGAGTAGACATTTACTCCGCCAATTGTTTTCCCATCCGTTCATTCTTTCATCAACGGAAATAAGGTATGAATTCACCACTCTCTGCCAACAATATTATTCCCTGTTCACTGTAGTCTTGTGATCAGTTCACTGATAGGCCTATTGGATGGCATTTGATCTACCCAAGACTGTCTGGTATAAATTAATTCTACATGATTGTTTTCTTGAGGTGGAACATCAATACAAGAATGTGCAAACAGAGGGACACAGTTTTGCCTAAAAATCAATTGTGTCTAATTGCACATTGGTTGGAGAGTCTGGGACATCAGATATTCCTGGCTATACAATGGATGCAAAGAATACATTTGGTTTACAATGTCATTTGAGAGAAACCCCTGAACCCATGCCAAGGAGTTGATGATAAAGTAAACAATGAACAATGTATCTATTAAATAATATATTTAATCTCATTAGAAATAATTCATGAAAAAACTAATTTGAGTTTTGCCTTGTAGTTGTCATTGCATTGTGTGGACAAGCCCTTTGATCTGTGCTCTGTTGACATCAGTGAGCAGAGATTGAACTTGTTAAGATTAGCTCTTTGAGAGATGAATTTAATGATAAAAACACATAATTATATGATATGATACCTTTGGTAAGACAGTTGTCAGATGTGGTGAAATAAGCAATATTCTCAAAATCCAGTAAAATATACTATTTTGACCTGTCGAAGAAAGGATGAATTCAAACAGACTATGCATTCCAATGGGAGAAGTTTATAGGTAGACACATACATTACCAGTCAAAAGTTTGGACACACCTACTCATTCAAGGGTTTCTCTGTATTTTTACTATTTTTTACATTTTAGAATAATAGTGAAGATATCAGAACTATGAAATAACACATATGGAATCATGTAATAACCAAAAAAGTGTTAAACAAATCAAAATATTTTTTATATTTGAGATTCTTCAAATAGCCACCCTTTGCCTTGATGACAGCTTTGCACACTCTTGGCATTCTCTCAACCAGCTTCATGAGGTAGTCACCTGGAATGTATTTCAATTAACAGGTGTGTGTTACAGGAGGGGGTCGCAGTTCCGGAGCAACCCACTAGGTGTCATCCTCCGACAACCTTAGGCACCTCCTCACTCACAGTCGGGACTAATCATCATCCTATTGGTGTCACCTGTGTCTATCGGTTCACCTGTGTATTTATGCCCTCACTTCCCTGTCTTCCCTTGCTTCCCGACGGAGCAGGGCCCTTTCCTGGGCTACCGCGGAGTGGGAGAGCCAAACGCCGGCATGCTCCGACTCCTACCAATTCACCCAGGAGCTACGTAAGGTGTTCGACACCTCTCGGGGGGTGTCGGGGCAAGAGGCCGGGAGGATGTACGTACCCAAGGCTGGGGGCGCCAGGACATTGGAGTTCCTGCATAGGAGGTTCTGGTGGCCATCTGCTGAGGGGGATACGCGCGCCTTCATGGCTGCTTTCCTGGTGTGCGCGCGGCACAAAGAGCTCATGTCAGCCCGCGGCAGGGCTGCTCCGACCCCTGCCTATCCCCAAGCGCCCCTGGTCCCACATCTCACTGGATTTCATTTCCGCCCTACCCCCTTCTGATGGATACACAGTCATCCTGGTCATTGTGGACCAGTCCTCGAAGGCTGCCCACTTCATTCCCCTTCCCAAACTCCCGTCGGCCCGGGAGACGGCTAAGTTGGTGGTGCAGCACGTTTTCTTGGTCTATGGCCTTCCCCAAGATATGGTGTCGGATCCAGGTTCTGGAGGCGCCTCCAGGTTCGCGGCGCCTCCGTCAGCTTGTCTTCTGGCTTCCATCCCCAGTCGAACGGTCAGATGGAGCGCGTCAACCAGGATCTGGAGGGGGTGCTGAGGTGCTACGCCTCCAGCAACCCAGCTACGTGGAGTCAGCGACTGGCGTGGGCGGGCCTCAGTCAGGTCTCAACATCAGGCCCACCGCAGGCGTTGCCCGGCCACGATCTCTCGACCGGGACAGTGGGTGTGGCTCTCCACACCAGACTTCCTCTCCGCGTGGAGTCCAGGAAGCTGTACCCCCGGTTCGTCGGGCCATTCAGAGTGGTCCGGCGAGTCAACCCAGTGGCCTACCGGCTGCAACTTCCCCCCACCATGCGGGTGCATCCCACATTCCATGTGTCCCTCCTCAAGCCCGTCGCCACCTGTCCCCTGGGTCCCCCTCGTCGTCCTGTTCCCCCACTGCGCCTCGTCGGAGGGCAGCCGGCTTTTACATTCACATTTTTTTTACATTTTAGTCATTTAGCAGACGCTCTTATCCAGAGCGACTTACAGGAGCAATTAGGGTTAAGTGCCTTGCTTAAGGGCACATCGACAGATTTTTCACCTAGTCGGCTCGGGGATTAGAACCAGCGACCTTTCGGTTACTGGCACAACGCTCTTACCCACTAAGCTACCTGCCGCCCCTTTTACTGTGGACCGGATCCTGGACTGCCGGCCGGTGGGGAGGGGTCTCCAATTTCTGGTGGACTGGAAGGGTTATGGGCCAGAGGAGCGGTCCTGGGTGCCCAGGAGGGACATTCTGGACCCAGGGCTGATAACAACATTCCGTCACCTCCTCACTCACAGTCGGGACTAATCATCATCCTATTGGTGTCACCTGTGTCTATCGGTTCACCTGTGTATTTATGCCCTCACTTCCCTGTGTTCCCTTGCTCAGTTTTCTCTGCTAGTTTCTCTATGTCCAGCAGTACTACTCAGTTTCTGATCGGAGATCTATGTACAGGTACTTGAGAAGTGTTCTCCCTGTTTCGTTATTTGTTTCAGTCTTAGGTAGTATTTCGTATTTTGGCTGTCAGCCGGTTTTTGGAAACTTATTTGCTCCGCCTTTCTTTTGTCGTGTAAAGTCCGTTATTTTGTATTTTGGCTTCGGACCACCAGTAAAGATCCTTGTTTCACCATCTCTGCCTACTGCCTACTGTATATCCTGCACCGCACCTGGGTCACACCTCACCTCAACCCTTACAGGTGTGCCTTCTTAAAAGTTAATTTGTCGAATTTATGTCCTTCTTAATGAGTTTGAGCCAATCAGTTGTGTTGTGACAAGGTAGGGGGGGGGGGGAGTATACAGAAGATAGCCCTATTTGGTAAAAGACCAAGTCCGTATTATGGCAAGAACAGCTCAAATAAGCAAAGAGAAACAACAGTCCATCATTACTTTAAGACATGACGGTTAGTCAGTACGGAAAATTTCAAGAGCTTTGTTTCTTCAAGTGCAGTCGCAAAAACCATCAAATGCTATGATGAAACTGGCTCTCATGAGGACCGCCACAGGAATGGAAGACCCAGAGTTACCTCTGCTGCAGAGGATAAGTTCATTAGAGTTACCAGCCTCAGAAATAGCAGCCCAAATAAATGCTTCACAGAGTTCAAGTAACAGACACATCTCAACATCAACTGTTCAGAGGGGACTGTGTAAATCAGGCCTTCATAGTCAAATTGCTACAAAGAAACCACTACTAAAGGACACCAATAAGAAGAAGAGACCTGCTTGGGCCAAGAAACACGAGCAATGGACATCAGACCGGTGGAAATGTGTCCTTTGGTCTGGAGTCCAAATTTTAGATTTTTGGTTCCAACCGCTGTGTCTTTGTGAGACGTGGTGTGGGTGAAAGGATGATCTCCCCATGTGTATTTCCCACCGTAAAGCATGGAGGAGGAGGTGCTATGGTGTGGGGGTGCTTTGCTGGTGACACTGTCTGTGATTTATTTAGAATTCAAGGCACACTTAACCAGCATGGCTACCACAACATTCTACAGCGATACGCCATCCCATCTGGTTTGGGCTTAGTGGGACTATCATTTGTTTTTCAAAAGGACAATGACCCAACACACCTCCAGGCTGTGTAAGGGCTATTTTACCAATAAGGAGAGTGATGGAGTGCTGCATCAGATGACCTGGCCTCCACAATTGTCACGCCCTGGCTCTGGGGACACTGTTATGTTGAGCCAGGGTGTGTAGATCTATGTGTTGTGTTTCTATGTCGGGGTTCTAGGTATTGTATTTCTGTGTTTGCCAGAGTGGTTCCCAATCAGAGGCAACGAGTGTCAGCTGTGGCTGGTTGTCTCTGATTGGGAGCCATACTTATAGAGGCTGTTTTCCCACATTAGTGGTGGGATCTTGTTCTAGTTGGTTTGTGTTAGACCGTTGACTGTCACGTTATCGTTTTTGTTGTTTTATCGTTTATCACTAATAAAGAGTATGTTCGTCTGCAACGCTGCGCCTTGGTCCTCATCTCTTACCGACGATCGTGACAGAAGATCCCACCAAAACTGGACCAAGCAGCGTGTCCAGGAGCCATCGCCAGGGGAGTCGCTAGCAGATCTCCGTGGCAACCTCGAATGGGTCAAGCCTAATGAAGAGCAGAGAGGGTGGACTTGGGAACAGTGGAGGAAGAGTCTCGACTGGGTCAAGCCAAATGAGGAGCAGAATGGCTGGAGTTGGAAGCAGAAGAGCGAGAGTTGGGCGAGAACTATAGAGGCCTGGCCCACGGGGAAGAGAGACCCCCAGACATTTTTTAGGGGGGGCTCACGACGTGGACGTCGGGGCAGCAGGAGGCCGCGATAGAGCGGTCCAGCGGGTTGGCAGAGGACGGGGGCCGCCAGGTTACGGGGGCCACTGGTCAAAGAAGGGAAGGAAGGTGTAGAGGCACGGCGAGAGGTACTGGGGTG